CGATGCTTGTACATTAAGCATGTGATTAATGTCCCAGAACTGTCTGCTTTAAAAGGGATAATTTGGGGGTGTTATAATGAACTTAGATGAATATGAAATCACTGTTGAGTTAAATATGATTAATTTATAATAAATTCACACTAAGAATTTAAAAAGCAATCCCACGTATGATTCTCCTTCAAGAAACAAATCGTTGAGTCTAAGTCATCCTTGTTGGGAGACAGGCAGTTACAGGGGAGGAACACAGCGTGGCTGAGGGCACTGGGCTCCCTTGGGTGTGCCTTGTGTCCCAGCATGCTGCGTAGCCAAGAGCACACAAGGGCAATAGAGGAAGAAAGCACTCAGTCACCTGAGTGGCTGACCGGCTTCTCCCGTTAGCTTCTAAAGTCAGGACCCAGTTCGGGGCCAGGATGGTGGATCAAGTCGTTGGATCTGATTCCATTTCTTCCTCTAAATCCTGAGGAGACAATGGTCGCAGAATGGGATCCTCCCGGGACACTTGGCTGAGTTGGTGGCCCACAGTGGGGACAGCGGAGTCCCACAGTCTGCACACAGAATGCCCTCCTGCACTAGGAGCCGGAGAGAGCAGGCTCCCTAGATCCTGGCCATGGAGTCACCGAGAGCTCCCATGGTAGCTGCTGGGGGTCTTATCTCAGAGGGCCTCAGAAATGGGTGTTACTAAATGTGGAGGCCATGCCAATTCCAAGGCCACAGGAGGCACTCGTGTCCTCTAGGCCAGCCATGGGGAGACTCTTGTCATGAACCCCAACCAACCCCGGTCCAAAGACAATGGCCACAAGCTTCCACATCTCCAGGACATGGAGTTCAAACTTCAAGCCCAGAACTCCTGCATTCAAAACTCTCAACCAAAATGTCTTAGTCTTGTTCGGAGCCCTGGTGGCTCAACAGTTGAGCGCTTGGCTGCTGGGACACCCAGCGGATCCCTGGGGAAAGGCTTGGTGATCTGCTCCCTTATTAAAGACCAAAGCCAAACTCACCGCCACGGCGTGGCTTATGACGCACGGAGACCCTACAGCATAGAATTGCCCCTGTTGGTTCCTGAGACTGTAACTCTTTACGGAGGCACCCCAGTGGCACAGTGGTTAAGGGTCGGGTTGCCATCCTCAAGGTGAGTAGTTCAAAACCATAAGCCAACCCTCAGGAGAAAGGCGGGGCTTTCTACTGTCAAGAGTTGCAGTCTTGAACTCTCACAGGGACCATTCTGCCCTGCCCGACAGGGTTGCTGTGAGTCACCATAGGCTATGTGGCGGCGAGGAAAGCCTCACCTTTGGTCCTCAGAGCAGCTGGTGGTTTCAAACTGCTGACTGAGGTCCGCAGCCCAATGTGCAGCCAGGACACGTCACAGACTCAGAAACCCTAGGGGGCTGGTCTATTCTGACCTTCAGGGACGGACAGATGGAAATTGACACCATGGGCTCCAATCAAGGACCAGCAAGCGCTGAGAAGTCTTTCACAGAAGGAAGCGGACAGAGTGAACAGATGTGAGCAATGTGAAGCACAGAAACAACGCAGGAGAAAGAAGACTACCTTACAAGACTTCTGGGAATCCTCATCATGCTCCTGTGGGCTCCCCGGTGCCTTGTCTCAGTTAGGGCAGGATCTCCCTCCACCGAAATGAAGGAATAAAAACCAGACAGTCCCTAGTCGGGGGTACATGGGGAAAAGAGGGCCAACAACAAGCTGAGTGACCACCCCACCACCCCACCCCGCGTCCCAGAATAGGGTGATTGGATGGTCCCCTGATGAATGGAGCCTGATGGGGTTGGGTTGCTGACCACTAGGTCAGCTGTTCAAATGCACCTGCTGCTCTGCGAGAGAGAGAGAGACGAAGCAATCTGCTACTGTTGAGTTACAGCCACGGAAACCCACAGGGACGGTTCTACTCTGTCCTGTGGGGTTGCGAGGAGCTGGAATTGACTCGATGGCAGTGAATTTGGGTGTTTTGGTTTAAGAGAATGGAGAAAGGCAGAGCAGACAGACCGGGGCCTACTTCAGCCCTCATTTCTCCCTGGTGTGAAGTCCTGGGGCCCCCCACAACCTTAGTGGACACCGACCCCCTTTCCCAGGACACATCAGGAACTTGCCGGCTATCCTTCCCAGAAGGGACTCAGAACTTACGAGGGGAGCTCAAGGCAGACTGACCAGATTCTCCTCCCAAGAGCCTGCATCTAACTGGGGCTCAACTGCACTTTGCCTACGCAGCCAGCATTGGATCACTGCCCAGCTTTTTGACAGTCATGGCTCCGGGACCCACCGTGGGAAAACCCTGAAGAGAAGCCTGGTGAACACACAAGTCAGACCACTCACGCCCTGGTGGAGGTCCAAGGAGGAGATGTGCAAGCAGTGGGGGAGGGGGTGGCACAGGAGTCCCCCGCCCCCCACCGGCACTTGTTCACAAAGAAGTGACAGCACAATCCACCGTGGAGGGCTTCGTTGTTTCTGATGGTATATGTTGACATCTGTCAAATGTGACTACAGAATCGGAATATGAAATATTGCATTATGATTTCCCTATCGTGTGGTTTTACGATTTTTCGTGCTGACTCCAGATTTTTCTCCCTATTTATGTGGCCCTCTGAAAATTGTTTTTCAATGACTAGCCTAGAAAGGTAAGGGTGTGGCTGGCAACATAACAAACTGGATGGATAAACGATGTATTATATTTGGGCAAGGCAATTCCTTTATCATGAAAATGTTTTTACATCCAGGATTGGTTTTTTCTGTTTTGCAATTTTCCTCAATATTATAGAATTTGAGAATAACACACACACAAGTGACAGCATTTTGGGTTGATACATCCTGTCTCATGAGGAGCCCCACCCCCACCCCGCCCAAAGCGCTTGAACACAGACATACCTCGCATGTCTCACTGCACTTCGAAGACGTTGCACGCTTTGGGAAGAGAACGGTGCTCGCCCGCTCTGTCTGGGTCACGTGTGGGTCATTCTTGCCATACTTCGAGCGTTTTTGTCACGCTATGGCACGTTTTGTAGACTGCATATGACGCCAACCTACCTTATGCATGCGCGTCCCCGGGTGACGCCCTCCATGGCTGCACCTGCTTGGCTGCAGTGGGCTGGACCGGAAGCAGCCTCTCGGAGGTCCGCCTGTCCACTCCACTGTCCTTCAGGAAACCTGGAGCGAACGCAGGCCGAGAGCCTGCACTTACCGTCCTCGCGAGGACAGCAGCATTTTGGTTAAAGCAATAAACGGAAGTCCTATTCACATCCGTCTGAGGTGAGCCTGTTGAAATAACCCTAACTCAAGTCACTGCCCTCAGGTTACTTCTGACGCGTGGTGACCCTGGAGGGCGGGGTAGCACTGCCCCTGTGGGTTTCTGAGACGAACTGTCAGGGAGTAGAAAGCCTCGTCTTTCCGAGGGAGCTAGCTGGCTGTTAGTTTCAAACTGCTGACCTTGAGGTTAGCAGCCTAACACGTCACCACTACGCCGTCAGACATTTTTGGGTCATGTGGGGGCAGCAAGGATGGGACAATGAACCGAGGCCCGGGATGCAGGGTTTTGAAGACCCCACTTAACTGACAAGACTGCCACCAGACCGATGGCAGCCTCTGGCTCCGAACATGCTCCCGGGCCGGGCCCGAGAACGACTGGCTGGGGCAGCACTGTCCGTGGAGGGCGAGTCTCGGCGGCGCGGGGCGGCTGAGGAAGGCTGAGGGCAGGCCTGGGGATGGGCGGTCAAGCCCGGGCGCACGTTCTCTGCCACGCGGGGCTCCCAGCCACGCGAGCCAGCCTCGGTGCGTGGGGGGCGGGAGGCTGGGGTCTGCGGGGTGGGACCCACGGGGACTCCGAGGACCAGATGGGTGAGACCGGCAGGTGGCTCGGTCTGTATTCTTCGTCGAAATCACCCTCCGCGATGGCAGAGCCCGCGCAGGCACCGCACCCCGAGGAAGAACAGAAACGAGACCACCCCAGGGGTCATCATCAAGTTTTTGTTTTATTTAAGATTTTAGTTTTAATTCTGAAGAAAGAGGTACATTTCCTTGGTTTTAGTTTTAGCGTCGGGTTACCACCAGGTTTCTCTCCTCCCGTCTTTTCAATACTGCACAAACGTCCAGAAACTACAGGGTGAGGGAAAGCTGCAGGCGGGGGTCACCCCCACCCCTGGGCGACAGCCCCCGAGGAGCCTGCTCTCCACCGTGCGCCCTGCCTCGCAGGTGAACTTAACGTCAAAGAGGAGTCTGACAGGGGAAAGACGGATGCCTCGACTGCGTCTCGGCTCCCATCTTGGATCGGGGAGGACGTCTGAGAATGCCTTTTTCTTTAAAACATTTGGATTTGCTTTAAATCTAAAGTCAAAAAAAATATTTTTTTCCCCTTCCTGTTTGGAAAAAAAAATCGTTTCCCTCCCCCCTTATAAACGCTTTAATCACAGGCCAGGTTCTGACTACTGATCAATGGTCTTTCCACCAACTTCCCATGGGTCTTGCGCAGTGACACCGCCCAGCCCTGCCCACCGACTAGCCGTGGCACGAGCTGGAAAGGAAATGCCATCTCCCTGTGATCGTGACTGCGAAGAGGGCGCGGGCCTGACCCTCCCCTGCGCACTTAGCAATCTCTGTGAAACCCACCTGTTCTCCACCGTCTGCAGCTGACAAGGCGTCCACGTGACCGACCCTAGAGATTAATCGTCATTTTCTGCTAAGCAGATTATGTCATTATTATGCGCAACAGACAAACAGTAATTTTCTATGTATCGAGACTGCCTTTGATTTCGTTTGCCCTCCTGAAAAGGCCTTTTTAGGAAACATTCGACAGTGTCGCCCAAATGCTGAACAAACAGAAACGTTTACAGTAATCATTACAAAGAAGATGGTCATGACCCTGTGGTAGCGTTGCCTCTGGGGGGGGCGG